ACACACACACACACACACACACACACACACACACACACACACACACACACACACACACTGAGGTAGTTAAGCGCTGTGTCACATGCTGATTTCCTGCAGCTTATGTGTTTATGGGCCTATAACGAGGTTTCGTTCATTCACTCGCTTTCTGCAGGGCTTTCATCATGTTCGTCATGATTTTGAGGGTTTGGGAGCAGACATGTGATACTTGTATGTTAGTTACTTCACTTGTCAGTAGAAATTATAAAAGTTAGAATGCATTAAATAAATCAAAAGTAAAGACATTAGTAAAGACATTTATAATGTTTCAAAATATTTATATTTCAAATAAATGCTGTTCTTTTGAACTTTCTATTTCATGGTTTCCACAAAAATATTGTGCAGCACAACTGTTTTCAACATTGATAATAATCAGAAATGTTTCTCGAGCAGCAAATCAGCATATTAGAATGATTTCTGAAGATCATGTGACACTGAAGACTGGAGTAATGATGCTGAAAACACAGCTGCGCATCACAGAAATAAATTACAGTTGAACAGATATTCACACAGAAAACAGCTGTTTTAGATTGTAAAAATATTTCACTTTGACCATATTTTTGATCAAATAAATGCAGCTTTGTTGAGCAGAAGAGACTTCTTTCAGAAACATTACAAAATATTACCGACCTCAAACTTTTGAACGGTAGTATTTATTTCAAAATATACCAGAATATATTGCTAATATAGATAATATAGAAGTTTTAAACAATTTAAAGTTTCCCTTAGCTGCATATAGTTGTATGGGATCATCAGTCGCTGTAGTAAGTGAAGTTGAACCTCAAACTTTCCTTTAAAGTGACTGCAAACATCTGCTGTGAAACACACTGATATACGCACACACGTACAGCATTAGTGTGTGTTTGTGGGAGGTCTGGGATCAATCTGTCTGCCGCTAATGCAACTTCTGCCAAAAACCATCTGCTGTTGATAAAAGTCTCCCACAGAAATGTGAGAAGATTAAAAATACCTGAATCACAATGTCATGTCAATCAAAAAACTATTAGCGGCAGTTTGAAACTCAAGCGAAGGTTTTAATTAAGCAAGAATGAGAGTAAAGCTCTGCGGTTCCTCTGCGGTTCCTACTGTTTTAATCACAGATTCCTGCGGTAAACATCGCAGACGGCGCTTGCATTCACTGCGCAGAAACAGCAGTTGCCATGGCACGACTGCAGAGCGGATGAGCGGAGCTGTGATTTTTAACAGGGTTTATGAGAGCCTGGTGTTCAGATGTCCCATAATGCCAGTAGAGAGACACTCGCAGTCTCATTAATGCTGTCAGCACTTAACAAAAGCACTATAGAGTTAAGCATCACACACGCTATTAAATTCAATAGCTGTCCTGACAGACACACAAAAGCTGCTCTCTATGGAGCCTGAGTGTAAACTCAGTCCATCCCAGATAAATGAGACAAGGATGAGACCAGAGGAGATTATCTGAGATGAGGATGAGACCAGAGGAGACAATCTGAGATGAAAATGAGACCAGAGAAGATGATTTGAGACAAGGGTGAGACCAGAGGAGATGCTCTGAGATGAGGGTGAGACCAGAGGAGACGCTGTGAGACGAGGGTGAGACCAGAGGAGACACTCTGACACGAGGTTGAGACCAGGGGAGATGCTGTGAGACAAGGGTGAGACCAGAGGAGACGCTCTGAGATGAGAATGGGACCAGAGGAGACACTGTGAGATGAGGGTGAGACCAGAGGAGACACTCTGACATGAGGTTGAGACCAGAGGAGATGCTGTGAGACGAGAATGGGACCAGAGGAGACACTGTGAGACAAGGTTGAAACAAGAGGAGACGCTGTGAGACTAGGATGATACCAGAGGAGATGCTGTGAGACGAGGATGCGACCATAGGAGACACTCTGACATGAGGATGACACCAGAGGAGACGCTCTGAGACTAGGATGAGTCCAGAGGAGAAACTGTGAGACGAGGATGACACCAGAGGAGACACTGAAGAGACCAGAGGAGACACTCTGAGATGAGGATGAGACCAGAGGAGACGCTCTGAGACTAGGATGAGTCCAGAGGAGAAACTGTGAGACGAGGATGACACCAGAGGAGACACTGAAGAGACCAGAGGAGACTCTCTGAGATTAAATTAAAATTAAAACCATTATAACAGTTTTTGTTACTTGAAATAAAATAAACATGAACTAAAAATTAAAATATTTATATAAAAAAACTTGCCACTTGCAAGGCAACAATAATTCATTTTGTTTAACGTGATGTACTAAAATAACTAAAAATAAGACAAAAAATATTAATAAAACAAAAAAGCCTAAGGCAAACAAAATTACTAAACCTTTATTTAAAATTGGAATGAAAAATATAAAAAATAAAAACTGATTCAAAATACAAATAAAAACTACAGTAGCATCTCAATGATAGCACTGATAGAGTCAGGTTTCTAAAGTTCTGATAAAAAAGGTTTGAAGCCTTTAAATGAATGCGTGTTTACCAACGATCAGATGTTTCTTTATCGTTGGTGTTTGTATCTATGATTTGTGATGAGATGAAGACGCGAGTGATTCGCAGAGCTGTCAGTTAAATCCCAATCCACACACACACACAGATCCAGGCCGGGGTTTGAGTCTGACAGCAGTGCAGCAAGACTGAGACTTAAACACATGAAACACTCAGATGGAGAATGACTCCGTTAATCTATAGCGCTTTATACAGTACAGATTCTCAAAACAGGAAAATAACAGTATTAATGTGGAAAAATTCATAAATTATTAAACAAATTCAAATTCAGCTTTAAAGCAGCTCTACAAAAGAAAACAGAGTCATTATTCAGATCAGTTCAGTTCTAGTTTTGTTCTCATCTGATAGTGTCCGTGCAGTTAAATTGTTAATATTACTGAATAATAATTATGTTTTTAACCTTTTAACCCCCTAGCCTCTGTTCCAAACCCTAGTGAGCTCCCTAAGTAGGCGTCACTTCCAGTACCATTATAATTCTAACGCTGATTCTGGTTTAACACTAAAAGAGCAGATGAATTCAGCTCAGGGAAGCATTGATTCAGTGCATTAGGTTATATTTGTTTAAAATGCCTCTTTCACTCATCATTCTCTGTGCTGTGAATCATTATGCTTTATTTCAGTGATGCTCCCTCGGAATGCGTCTATGTAGGTGGCTCACTAGTGTTTGGAACACAGCCCGCGTGTCTCTCTGCAAGTGTTTCTATCCTTTAATCTCATCTGTGTAATTAACAGTCTCTGAATTCATTATCATAGTCACTTTAATAAGACACACGGCTCAACACAAAGTGTCTCATATATTTATGATTATTCTATCATCTGGACGGATTTACTGGATCAGATACATGATATATTCATCTTATTCTGACACACACACACTCACACACACACACACACACACACACACACACACACACACACACACACACACATACAGTACATTATAATATTTCTGTTTAAAGTTTTAGTAATTTGCTGTGTTTTTCTCAATTTTATTAGATTTTTTTTATTTCGTTTTTAGTTGTTTTTATTTGTTGTTGTTTTAGTCTATTACACTTCATATAAATAACAGAAAAGTGTGGTATGTCTTCATTTACAAGACAAGCTTTTGTACTTGTAATTTAATGATTTTTTTATAATTGTGCTTGTGTCCAACACTGGATTGACCAACACATGGGTCTGGAGGTCGGTGTTAAATCTCACAGAAACAAAAGCTCCGGGTGTTTGTCAGCAGCGTCTGCTCTTTTGTTGGGTGTGTGAGTGTTTTCTCTCAGGACGTGTCAGCCAAGGCTGATGGGCGGCTCCGCCGGGAATCATGGGACATCTTTAGGAATGCAAATGCTGCTGTCTGAGTGACGGGATGAAATCAGCCGCTCTGTTCTCTTCCCCTCGATCTGTCTGTGTCTCTCTCTCATGCCGCAGCAGTCGTAGCTATAAACA